GCCTGATCCTGGGACCCCTGGTAGTGCAGTGGTTAAGAGCTATGGCTGCTAACCAAAACGTTGGCAGTTCGAATCCACTAGCCACTCCTTGGAAACCCTATGGGGCAGTTCTACTCTGTTCTATAGGGTCGTTATGAGTTGGAATCGACTCGACAGCAACAGGTTTGATTTGGTTTTTTGCTTGATCTTGACTTAAGGGTCAATTCAATTCAATTACCCTGCTCCTGAGTGTCTGTATATATGAACAAAGCAAAGCTGCAGATAACGGGAGGGAGAACAGAGATGTACAAAATATGAAACTCATCTTTTTGTAATGGACACTACAATACTAGAGAGTAGATATGTACATAAAAATTGATAAAACTAAAAGTTGTAAGAGCTGTAAAAGAGAAAAATAAATGTATTATGGAAGCACAGAGATGAGATAAATTTTGGCTGGGGAAATCAAGGATGGCTTCATGAAGGAGGCAACATCTGAGCTAGCTCTTGAACAATAGGTGGAATTTAAAAAACAAGTGGAGGGGCATTTCTGGCACAGAAAATGGTCTAAACTGAAAAGACAAGTGTGAAAGCGCAGTCTTCCACTCTGTAACCAGTCGTTTGTCCTGTAATTTCCCAATTCAGGTTTTGCTGACAGTACCCCAGGGTGTTGTTTGTATCCCCATGTCCTTTTTGCCTTGTAAACTGGTAGATAAATTTAGAGGTTTGAACAGATTCAGGTTTCATTTTTTGGCCAGAAGACTTCACAGGTTGTCCCATAAACTTCTATTTAATGTCTGGTTGTCTCTCTTGGTGACATGAGCAGCCATTTATGATTATTGCCTATGTCTAGTTTTATATCGGGGGTTGCAAAATAGCGATCTTCTAATTGTATCATTCCTTCTGTGTTTATTAGCTGGAACACTTCTGTAAAGAGAAACTTCCCCTCAGCAACTATTTGGAAAGGCTAGATAGTTGCTTGATTTTTTTTTCCCGTTACTTTTCAGTTTTCATCCACCAAACTGGCTAATGATTTTTTTGTTTTAAAGATCATTAAGAATGCATTCTACCATCTTCCAAAGATAGTCAATGCATTTTTTGTTTAGTTTTTTACAATAATTATAAATTCATGGGTATAACATATTCCACTGGATATCCCACTTAAACATATTCAAGTCTACCATTCAAAAAACAAAACCAAACAAAAACTAAAAATCCCTCATTAGATGTCTCTCCTTCTCTTCCCAATCTTCCCTCATGGCACCTGTGCTAGCACCATTTGCGAGTAACTTCTCACTCACTCCTTAACCCCCATTAGCTGACTCTACCACTCCACCAAAACAGTCTTGCTAAGGTCACTAGTGACATCTATTTTGCTAAGACTAAAGGTGACCTTTCATCTCACTGAACTTTTCAGTACTGTTGACCACTTTCTTACTTCTTAAAGAACTGTTTCCTCTTGCTTCTATGACACTGAAATGTGCTGATTTCTCTCCTACCTCTCTGGTTACTCCTCCTCTGTTGGTTTTTCATGCTTATCTTCTTACTCAGCTATGAAAGGCTGGCAAGTTCTAAGGCTCAGTATTGAAACATTACTTTACTATACTCTTGTCCAAGATAACCATATCCACACCTGGGACTTCAATGACTGCTTATACAAAGATGACTCAAAACAAAGTTACATCTTTACCTTGATCTCTCCCTCTGAATTCTAAACTTTATATCCAACTACCTATGTGGCAGCTCCCCTTGAATGTAATTAAGTAAGTCTCTTAGCTGTATGAAAATAAAGTTAGAATCTATGGAAAACAAAAATCACCCTCTTCCAGTGAATGCCAACATTCATAGTCATTTCTGACAACTCCATTTACCTCAGCTACCATCTACCCCCAAGTCCTGTTGATTTTATTTCCTGAATATCATTCAAATATGACTCCTTTCCATTTAAACCAGTACTACAAACCTACTCCAAAGTACTGATATCTCTTGCCAAGACTACTTCAAGAGCCTACAGATTGGGCAAACCAAATCTAAGCCCTAGTTGTATGACAGTTAAGCGCTTGGCTGCTACCGAGGAGTTGGCAGTTGTGTTGTGGTAACACCAGAACCTGTTTTGATTCCTTAGGGATTAAAATCACCATCAGCACAAAGTTAACTCCTATGAGGTGGAGGCCAGACATACCACTACTCTCCAAATTCTTCACCATTTCTGACACCAGCTGTCCTTCCCATGGCTCTCTACTTCTCTGCTGGGTTCAATAATTCATTGCAATGGCAGCCCTATTCTGTCACATGGGGTTGCTATGAGTCGAAATCAGCTTGACAACACCTAACAACAACAATCTACTCTGTCTTTCTCCAAACATTCTCGACACTGCAGCCAATGCAGACACATGATCATGTCAAGTCCCGCTTAAAACCCTTCAATAGTTTCCCATGAATCTTAAGATAAACTGCTAACATGGCCTATGCTCTAGGTAACTTGCTCCTACCTATTCTCCAGCTTCATCTAGAATCCTGCTTCCCCAGTGGGCTACCCTCAGTTCCTCATCTCACTATGGTTCTTTTCGCTAAAGGATCTCTGAACATGCTGCTCCCTCTGTCTGAAATGTTCTTCCTTCCTTCTTTGACCAGTTAACTCATTTTCACACAGGAGCAGCTCAAGAGTCACTTTCTAAAGGAAGCCTTCTCCTGATTTTCCTGACCAGATCATATCCCCATATCACAAGCTATCACAGAATCTTGTGCATATCCCTTGTAGAATTGTCACAGTTGCAATTTTACATTTCTCTGCATGATCATTTGGTTAATACTGATCTTCATGAGAACAGGAACTGTGCCTGCTTTGTATTCCCAGTAGCTGTCATATGTTAAATGCTCGATTAATATATGTTACGTGAATGAATAAATGAAAAGAAATGGATAAATACCTGACTTTCTTGAAATTAGTATGGTTCATCCTTTTCCAGAAGCCTTAGACTTGCACTCATTATAAGTACTTTATATAAAGGGCATAGAACAAGGTTTATACATTGATAAAATAATGTTATTATTACTAATATTGTAAATATGTTACCAGAAAGGTTAGCTGCTATTATTAATTATTGCTATTATTATTACTGAATTCATTCCTTGTGGCAGAAACTGTTTTTTGATTACCTCTGAATCTATTCCCAACTACCTTGTCCCTTGCCTAACTCCATTATACTAGCTGGACAAAACTAAATTCTTACTTTCTGTTTCCCCTGCAAATATGACTGGCCTGCAAGTATAGACACAGTTTTGACCACTGAGATATAAATAGTTTTCTGGGAAGCTTCTAAAAAGCTATAGATTTCTTAAAAAAAAAAAAAAAGGGAAAGCTGTAGCAGTTACTTTCCCCATTTTCCTCATGTAATATGAATGTGATGGCCGGAGCTGCAGCAACCATCTTGCAACAGTGAGGGAAAGACCAACGACATTGTAGTGCCACTAAAACATCAGAACCGGCTGTCTATCTCAAGACTTCCTGTTGCAAGAGAAATATCAACCCTTGCTTTATTTTCCATTACCCTATTTTTACACAACACACGCATTATGTGTTTTTTTGCCAACTGTGCAACCCCCTCGTGTGTTATTTTCCTGCATGCATTATGTGCATTATACACATGGAAGCGATATTTACGTGGCTGTGTTATTTGTGAAAAAATATGGTATTTGTATCTAAAAACATTCCTAACTGATACTCTGCTCGATAACAAGAGTCTCTTCTAAAGAAATCACTTTACATTGCCCAAGATGGTTTTTGTGCTTTCTTGTTTGTTTCTTTTCCTCTATCTTTTCTTTATTAAATGTCTTTTTCACTCTCCCTAATTATTTAACCAAAATAAAGTACCTAGTATATTTACCTTACAAAATAGAAAATTAATTATAATTTTTTTAATTAAGGAAAGATGCTTTAAATTTCTAACATTCTTATAGTCTTATAAATATATGGAGATCAGTATAACGTTTATTTGGTGATAGAGCATCAAGTAGATTTCAGGTTGCTTTATTTTGTTCACTCTCAGATGAAAAACCAAGCTTTAGAAGTAAAGTATTTTAATGTCTACCAACATACATCAGTATTAGCATGTGATACATTCTGATGTGATTCTAGAGTCAAATATTATATAACTATGAAGCTGGATAATGTGTCAGACACTATACACACATAGCTTGACTACAAATATAGGCTATATTTCCTTTTAAAAAATGCACATTCAAGAGATATAAGTAATACATCAAAAAAACAACCAAAAAAACCCCATTGCCATCGAGTTAATTTCGACTCATAGAAACCCTATAGGACAGAGTAGAACCGCCCTATAGGGTTTCCGAGGGGCGCCTGGTGGATTTGAACTGCCGACCTTTAGGTTAGCAGCCGTAGCTCTTAACCACTTCACCACCAGGGTTTCCAAGTAATACATTAAGAACTGATAAATCCGAAGGCTTCAAATAGATTAAACTATGAATTCCAGTTAGTGAGACCAGGATATTTCACCCATAATCCTAATATTGCATAAATATAGGTTTATATATTGAGACTCAGAACCTAGAGTGTTACATGTTATGCTCTTAGAGCTAAAAAACAAAAAAAGCTGAATTAAATTCGTTTGTGCCAGTCCCTTTTTCAGGCTGGTCTCAGTTCCTTACCTACAAAGTAGGGAGGGAGGACTAGTTTTCAGACTCTGCTCTGCACAGCCTAGCAGCCAAGCCTCCAAGCCTTCCTCCACCCTGATTCAGGCAAAGCAGCTCTGCTTTTATCTCTTTAAATACTGATCTTCCACACAAGGTTTTGTTTAAAGTAAGAACTCAGTAACTCAATTAACTATTTGAAAACAACTGAACAAGATGATCATCAGGTCTCTTATAGCATTAATATCCACGATGAAATGATTTAAGCTTCTATGCTTCAAATATTTTAGAGTATATCTGTTCATCTAAATATATACATTGGAATAATTCTCAGAGAAATATTCAAATGGAACTAATGTTTTTACCTTGTGAAAATGCCATCCACAATCCCAATTGTTGCTTCCTCTGCAGGAACATAGGAGCCAATCTGAGCCATGATAGTAATCAATGCAACTTGTTTTATGTAGGAGCTCTTTCCACCCATGTTTGGTCCAGTAATTATCATTACTCTCTCTGAGTCTCCCTGGAAAATTAAACAGCAATTTCACATACTGTACCACGGGGGCCTTTATGTAATATCTACAATTTATTCCACAAATGAGAATGCATTAGGCAAAAGATCACCTCGTGGCATATTTAAATATGCCACCAATAAGTATCACAAAGGAAAAGAGGCTCTCTTTGTCTTATATCTGAAAACTGCTATTGCAGAAAAGTGAATTAATTCTTAGCAGCACACAGCTGTTCTGGATTAAAAAATGAAATAACAATCACCAGACTGAGTCCAGTACAGCTAGATGGTGTCTGGCTACCACCACTGACTGCTCTGACAGGGATCACAACAGAGGGGCCTGGACAGAGCTGGAGAAGGATGTAGAACAAAATTCTAACACACACAAAAAGACCAGACTTACTAGCTTGACAGAGACTGGAGAAACCCTGAGACTATGGCCCCTGGACACCCTTTTAGCTCCGTGGTGAAGTCACTCCCGAGGTTCACCATTCAGCCGGGGATTAGACAGTCCCATAAAACAAAACGGGACAAATGAAACACAGCAGTCCAGGGACAAGGACTAGAAGGCAGGAGGGGAGAGGAAAGCTGGTGATAGGCAACCTAAGGTCGAGAAAGGACAGCGCTGACATGTCGTAGGGTGGTTAACCATAGTCACAGAGCAATACGTGTACTGTTTACTAAGAAACTATTTGTTCTGTAAACCTTCACCTAAAGTACAAAAAAAAAAAAAAAGAATTATCTATGTGAGATCAATTGACAACAGCAACTCAATAAGTTTGATGAGAAGCCTAGGGGACAGTGTGTTGAACATAACGGTGATGGAATAATTTGGAAAAGGATAGTGAGAATAGCAGCACAACTGGAAGAATGTAATCAATGCCACTGAATTGTACATGTAGAAATTTTTGAAATGGTGTATCTTTGGCTATGTATATTCCCCCCCCCCCAAAAAAAAAGGTCCTCCAAGGTTGAGAAGGGAGCGTGTTGACATGTCATGGAGTTGTTAACCAATGTCATAAACAATGTATGTACTGACTGTTTAATGAGAAACTATTTGTTCTGTAAACCTTTATCTAAAGTACCATTAAAAAAAAAAAAAGAAATAACAAGAAGTAACCAGTAGTGGATAACTATTAGAGCTTTCTCATTAAATATTCATTAATTTGCCTGTGTGTGTATGTGTTTACTATTGCTTACATTTAAAGTCTATCAATTTCCACTGTCTATTTTAACAACTGTTGTTATTAGGTGATGCTGAGTCAACTTCAACTCATAGCAACCCCACGTGACAGAGTAGAACTATTCCATAGGGTTTTTTAGGTTGTAATTTTTACAGAAGCAGATCACCAGGTCTTTCTCCCATGGAGTCACTAGATGAGTTTAAACCATCAACTTTTTGGTTAGCAGCTGAGCACTTAACCATTGTGCCACCAGGACTCCTTAGCAAGTACTATATATCTGATTATCCAAGGCCCTGTTCTGGGCTGGTAGCACATGAATTTTTTTAATTATAGATGGATGACTACTGAAAGAGATTTATAATATCAAATTCTAGATAACAGTTTTATTACCATTTAATTATTCTCTGACATTTCACCAGAACATGGGAATGAGGCAGAAAAGTTGAAGCTTTTACAATTCTTGTGACAACTGTGTATTGATCAGTTATAGTACTTGCCATTGATACATCCCTTCTAAGGTAAACCGTCTAACTGCAGCCTCTTGCAGAGGTGTTACCCAAGGCATCCCTGTTCTGTGTTATCTAAACCCATTATCCTTGGCAATACCTGCCTGGCCAAGAGTAGCCAATCTATAACTGACCAATAGTCTCTGAGTTGGCCTAGCATAAAAAGCTCTTCTCAAACTAGACCAATCAAATAACCTCCTGGGAGTTCAAACTGAGAATCAGAGAGAGGTTCAATCAGTTGGTAATGGAGCAAAAGTTGAAAAGAAAGCCAGAATGGGGCCACAAAGCACTGGAGATCATGAGTAAGATGTTATAAGGAAACAAAAAAGTATGAAGAAACGTTATATAGAGAAGGGGGTAAAAAGGGTAGTAAGTAGAGAAGAGTAAGAAAAGATAGACAAGAGCCCAGAGGAGAGTTGAGAAACTTCACACAAATACTGGGATATCAGAGTATAGAGCTGTAAAGTCTTACTACTGAGGGGATACAAAGTGTTCCGTCTCTAAAGCTTTTCCATATCCTAATCAATCCTACATTACGTTATTACCAGTCTCCCTAAAGCCCAGTTGGGTTGTTGCTGTTGTTGTTAGGTGCCGTCGAGTCAGTTCTGACTCATAGTGACCCTATGTACAACAGAATAAAACACTGCTTGGTCCTACCCCATCCTCACAATCATTATTATGCTTGAGCCCACTGTTGCTGCCACTGTGTCAATCCATCTCATTGAGGGTCTTCCTCTTTTTTGCTGACCCTCTACTTTACCAAGCATGATGTCCTTCTTCAGGGACTGGTCCCTCCTGATAACATGTCCAAAGTATGTGAGATGTAGTCTCATCATCCTTGCTTCTAAGGAGCATTCTGGTTGTACTTCTTCCAAAACAGATTTGTTTGTTCTTTTGGCAGTTCATGGTATATTCAATATTCTCTGTGAACACCACAATTCAAAGGCGTCAATTCTTCTTTGGTCTTTCTTATTCATTGTCCAGCTTTAGCATGCATATGAGGCGACCAAAAATACCATCGCTTGGCTCAGGCGCACCCTGGTCTTCAAAGTGACTTCATTGCTCTTCAACACTTTAAAGAGGTCTTTTGGAGCAGATCTGCCCAATGCAATGCATCTTCTGATTTCTTGACTGCTGTTTCCATGGGTGTTGATGGTGAATCCAAGTAAGATGAAGTCCTTGACAACTTCAATCTTTTCTTCATTTATCATGATGTTGCTTACTGGTACAGTTGTAAGGATTTTTGTTTTCTTTATGTTCAGGTGTAATGCATACTAAAGGCTGTGGTCTTTGATCTTCATCAGTATGTGCTTCAAGTCCTCTTCACTTTCTGCAAGCAAGATTGTATCATCTGCATAAAGAAGGTTGTTGATGAGTCTTCCTCCAATCCTGATACCCCGTTCTTCATACAGTCCAGCTTATTGGATTATTTACTCAGTATACAGATTGAATAGGTATAGTTAAAGGATACAACCCTAATGTGCATACCTTTCCTAACTTTAAACCATGCAGTATCCCTTTGTTCTGTTTAAAACAACTATTTCTTGATCTATGTATAGGTTCCTCGTGAGCACAATTAAGTGTTCTGGAATTCCCATTCTTTGCAATGCTATCCATAATTTGTTATGATCCACACAGACGAATGCCTTTGCATGTCAATAAAGCACAGGTAAACATCTTTCTGGTATTCTCTGCTTTTAGCCAGGATCCATAGGACATCAGCAGTGATATCCCTGGTTCCATGTTCTCTTCTGAATCCAGCTTGAAATTCCAGCAGTTCCCTGTCGATATAGTGCTGCAGCCACTTTTGAATGATCTTCAGCAAAATTTTACTTACGTGTGATATTAGTGATATTGTTCGATAATTGTTCGATCAATTTCAGACTGCGGAAGTTGGTAAAAATCTTCAGTTTCTTCATCTCTGGCCTTAGTGGTTGGTGTGTAAATTTGAATAATAGTCATATTAACTGGTTGTCCTTGTAGGTGTATGTATATTATCTTACCACTGACAGTGTTGTACTTCAGGATAGATCCCTGAAATGTTCTTTTCGACAATGAATGGAATGCCTTTCCTCCTTAATTTGTCATTCCTGGCAGCTATGTTAGGGGCTTTGTTTTCCTCTGTGATTATTATCTCTTATGGTTACACGAGACTTTATAATGAGCCTAATGAATCTCCATTACTCAAAGGAACTTGAGGGAATCTGTGTTTCTTGAAACACAAAGAGGCTAACACAGTAATAGCAGGAAAAGAAGTTTATTACAAGGAGAATGATGAAACTAATGATTAAAACAAAATGAAATCTCCTACAGAGATTTAAAAAAATAATAAAAAGTTTATTATAAACAACCAAATATTTGGCATAACCAAATATTTTGAAAATTTAAATAAAATAAGCAAATTCCTTAAAGTGGCAAAAATGACATAAAAATAAATATCTGAAAAATCCTATATCTATTAAAGAAATTAAATTTGTAATTAAAAACGTTCCTACAAGAAAAACTCCAAGCTCAGATAACTTCTCTGTTCTACACTTGCAAATATTTAAAAAAGAAATAGCACCAATCTTACAAAAACTCTTGCAGTGAATAGAACAAGAGGCAATTCTTCCCAAATAATTTCAGGAGACCAACATAACCTTGATACCAAAACGTGACAAGAACATTACAAGAAAGAAAAATTACAGACCCATAAGCATACATCCGAAACTCTTTAACAAATATTGACAAATCAATCCAAGGATACACGAGCCATTGAGGACTTTTGAGGAATACTTGTATTGGTTTAATATTCAAAAGCCAAACAGTGTAGTTCACCACATTAACAGAATAAAGAAATGAAATCATACAGTAACCTCAAATGACTCAGAGAAAACATGATAAAATTCAATATTCATCCTTGAAAAAATAAATAAAAATGCAGGAAAAGGAAATAAAAGATACTGAAGATAAAATAATGAAAATGTCATAATCATATTCCAAGAAAGTCTAATGAAATATACAAAAAGTTATTACAATCAGTAAAGGAATTTAGCAAGATCTCTGGCTACAAGTTCAATATTCAAAACCAAACTCATTACCATCAAGTCAATTAGGACTCATAGCAATATTCAAAAGTCAACCTTATTTCTGTAAGTAACTAGAAAATAAAAACTTTAAATAATTCAATTTACCATAGAATAAAAAAAGTCAAACACTTAGGAATAAATATAACACAGAAAGCTACAAAATATGACTGAAAGAAATTAAACAGGACTTAATCAAATGAGAGAATGTAACACGTTCATGAATATTTACATTAACCTACAATATTGCAACACTA